TACTTAAATAGTTTTAGGAGTAGGTCTTGCTCTGTGGCCCGTCTGGCCTGGAAGTTGCCATTCCCCTCTCCCACGCTGGAAGACACAGCTGGCCACTACAGCTAGGGTCCAGGACCTGCAGCTGGGACCTACTTCTTTCATTCCCCTCTGACAGCAAAGCTTGTCAGCCTCAGAGCCAATACCTGGGACGAGGGCTGGCAAGATGGCTCAGTGGTAGGTGTTCGCTGCCCGAGTTGGTCAGTAGGATCCATATAGTGGAAGCAAATTAATTCCTAAAAGTTGTCCTCTGACCTCCACACATGCATTACTGCACCCATGTGGGGGTGTGTGTACATTAAAATAAATTTGAAAACAACATAATTCAAAGTTAAAAGAGCACAAGATAGGTATGGCTGTTGTACTGTCTTGTGCTTGCACTTTGAAGCTGAGACAGGAGGATGGGCACAAGTTTGAGATCAGCTTGGACTACAGAGTAAAAAACTCTGTTTCAAAAAGAGGAGGGCGGGCTGGAGAGACATCTCTGCGGTTAAGAGCACTGGCTGTTATTCCACAGAGCCGGGATGGATTCCCAGCACCCACACAGTGGCTCACAACCATCTGTAACTCCAGTTCCAGGAAATCCAAAGTGCTTTCTGGACACACACACACACACACACACACACACACCTCAAAATAAATCTTACAGGTAAAGTTAAACATGGGGTCAGGACTCCCCTGGACATGGGTCTGTGGGTGGAAGGTGTGTTTGTGAGTGGTTGTTTCTCTGTGTATGAGCTATCCTTCCACTTGCCCGGGAAAGCTCTTCAGTGGCTGCTTCCGATGGCCAGTCACGGTACTTCCTTCAGGGCACCGGTGGAATGCAGTCTACTTGCTCCGGAACACAAACGAAGGGCCAGAAGCAGCTAGTCGCTCACCACCACTCTAGAAAAGCTTCGGCACCCTCTGTAAAGACTTTCCTTGGCTTTGGAAATAGAGGGGAGTTTGCTGAGAAGCTGGTCTTAATTTCTGACTTGTTGAAAAATTACCCTGAACAGAAGGAGGCGTGGAAATTGTGCAAATTCCACTTGATTATGGAGCAGAAGCTGAAAGACGTCTCAGATTAAATGGGAAGCAGTCTTAGCAGACTGACCATTTCACAGGTTTTCTCCCGCAGTTTGTCTGTTTTGGTAAAAACAAACCCGTTGGCAGTCCTTTGTCTTTGGTAGGGCAGTAGATGGATCCAGGTTCCTGCCACTGCCAGACAAGCTCTCTACCCGAGCTCTATCCCCAACCACAAGGGCGGCTTCCATCTCCTCCTCATCCGTCTCAGGCTCTGCAGTGCTAGGATTCTAGGAGTCTGCCACAAAGCCCCACCCACCACAATTTTTAATTTATAATCACTCTTATCTTTCCATATTCTCTGAGTCATCAGGGCTAGGTAGGAACTTTGCTCCTGAATGCAGGTAATTAGGCAGCCTTGAGAAAAATCTAAGATTCTTTGACAGGCATTTTAATGGATTCCATTCTGTGAGCCAACCACAGCTTTCCCAATTAGGACTGCTTGTCTCTCCATAATTTGGGGGTTACTGTAGGTCAAAAAACAAGCCTCACAAAACCCCAGAAGACAACAGAAGGCGTTCAGGCAAGAATAACCAGAGTGGAGCCACGGACTAGACACCGTCTGCAAAGCACTCTTTTGGAAGATGCCCTTTGCCAGGCATTCAAAGGAAATGTGTCCCACTCTGCAAAGTGGGCAGCCGGGCCACCATCACCGGGAGAGGAAGCTCTCTTCCATGTCTGAAGGCTTATCCCTAACGGCTAGGGAAGTAGCCGCTGCCAGGGCAGGAGGAGCACATAATGGGAGTGCAGAACTGGAGAGCTCTTGAGTGAGATGGACATCACCCATCACGACCTAAAAAGGGCAAGGCTGACATTCTGCTGCTCACTGCGGATGCAGCTGGAACAGAGAAGCGGGATTCATCCACTGCCCAGGGAAGGCAGGCTTGGCCACAGGAGGTTACGCCCCCGCTGTCAGGCCCTCCAGCCAGATTCAGCCATGGCAAATGATAATGCTCACATTTCCCACCGCCCAGAGAGGCAGACCCACACCTTATCCTGTGTGATCTGCACAGCCTGGTTGACTTTCTGTCGGAGGCATAGTCTTACTCTGCAAGCCAGGTTGGTCTGGAACTATGTAGCCCAGGCCAGCTTCAAACTCACAGAAATCCTACCTCAGGTCATTGGGAAGAGCTGGGCTTAGTGGCACATACCTGCAATCCCAGCATTTGGAAGGCAGAAGCAGGGGGAACAGGACTTCGAGACCAGCCTGGATCTGTCTCATTAAAATGGAAAAAAAAAAAAAAAAAGGATTACTGGGAAGATTTACAATCCTTTTTCACAGATGTTGCAAGCCGAGGCTCCGAGAATCAATGACTGGCCCACTGACAAAGTGCTAGGACCAGACCTGCAGAGCAGAGCTTCTGTGGAAGTTTCCACCCCAGCCTGCTTCTGTTTCCAGTGGACACATTCTTCATAGGCCACTGCTCACCAATGCTTCCTCTGCCTGGCTATGTAGGTGAGAAGGCGGAGGGCTGGTAGGAAAATCATCCTGCCCGCGGCCCTCCGGGGTGGGTAATCGGAAGTGTTTCTTTTCTCATGAGGGTCATCCCTGCCTGGCTGTCCTGTGGAAGCAGGAGCTGGTGACGATGGATGGAAACGAGGTAAAGATCTCAGGCCAGACTAATGGAAGTGCTACGGCAGATTTTCCACTGTTGAAAGAAACATCAGAATTCCCTCAAAGATCTCGTTGCAAAATGCCCACCCAGCTGTGAAGGAAGCAGGGCTAACTTGCTGTGCACAGGCGAGAGATCTCCGGGCAGCCACATGGGAAACTGGGCTGAGACTGGAACGGGGAGGGGAAGGGAAAGCCAAGGGATGGAAACTCAGCGCAAAGTGGAATCCAAACCAGGAGCAGTACACTTGACACACATTCAGAGGGTACCACTGCAGCTGGACAGCCGGCGGCGGCGGCCCGGGACTGCCACGTTCTCCTTGGGCACAGCCTCCTTAGACTGTTAGGGAAGGAGAGCATGTCCCTCCACCTGCCTCAGTGGGAAGAGTGGTGCCTGGGAGGGAAGCTCAAGGCTCGCTCTTAGGGGTCCTTCTGTTTTCTGTCAGCAGTAGGGAAAGACATTCTAGCAAATGACATTCAATAATGCTTTAATTAACTGCAGTATTTTGTATTTCAAGATGCAGCAAGAAATCAATTCCAGATGGGCAAAACGAAAGACACTTAGACAAAAGAATGATCCTTTTATTTGAAAGAAATTTACATCTCCCAAAGGTGTGCAATTCTGTGGGTCCAACAGGCTTTGTTGATGGACAGTTAGGATGGGACTGGAAATTTTTATTTCATACGTAAAACATAATGGTTCTCTTCATGCCTGCTGGCTTTTCACAAGCCTGTTTCCAAGGCTAATGCTTAAATGGCCCGATGTAGCCAGTCCTAACATTTTATTTTTGGGAATTTAACTTGGAATAGACAATAAGTGTGGAGCTTGCCTCCCCCCTCCAGCAAGCTAAGGTTATTTTGAGACTTCTCTTCCCAGGGAGAGGAATGATATTTCCAGCTGCGTACTTCTGGCAACTTCCTTTAGCCTTCTGTAAACAGGGAGCCAGGCTTCCTGGTCCAATAGCGACTCAGGATGGGCCTGTGTGATGCCCCCCCCCCCCCCCCCGTGCCAAGCAGCAGCTGGGACCGGTGCCCTCTTCTCTCAGTCATTTGATCGGCACCTACGAGCCACTTGAGATGCATGCAAAGTGGGCACCTTTCTGGGCTTTGGGTAGAATCTTGGTGCTGATTCTTTGTTCTGCTAGAGAGGAATTTTCTTTTCTGTGATAGGGTGTGCACCCAAGGCCTTGCACCTGCAAGGCTCTACAAGAGGCCAGAGGCTCTCTGTGGCTATTGCTTTGCAGGTATAGTCTAAACAAGGCTTTCTCTGCCCTGGTCCCTCTCAGCTAGCTATCTGTCCTAACAAAAGAGTTGCAAAGAACTCTTCACATTTCTTGTTGTTCTTGTCCTGTTTTTCTTTAAGTCTTACTATGCAGCCTTGGCTTGCCTGGAATTCTAATTTTTTTTGTTTGTTTGTTTGTTTTTTCGAGACAGGGTTTCTCTGTGTAGTTTTGATGCCTGTTCTGGATCTTGCTCTGCAGACCAGGCTGGCCTTGAATTCACAGAGATCTGCCTGGCTCTGCCTCCCGAGTGCTGGGATTAAAGGCATGTGCCACCAAACCGCCCGGCCTCTCCTTTTAGAACAAGCTGGCCTCTACCTCAGAGGTCCGCCTGTTTCTGCCTCCCCAGTGTTGGAATTAGAGATGTGCACCCCACGCCTAGCTCTGTCTGTTGATTTGAAGTGACAATCATAAGCTCCTGGCTGAGCCAGGGCCATGAAAACAGGAAGAACCTGGACCATTGTGAGAAGAGCCCAGCTCTAGGTCCCATCCTCATCATCTCTACAAGCTTCAGATGAAAGCTGCAGCCACTCGAAAGGCTGCGCTGGTGCCAGCTCAACTGTACAGCGACAGCCTTGGGCTAGACGGCCTGAGAAACACACACTGTGAACATGGGCAACAGGCCTTCTTTTAAAAGTCCTTTCTCTTCAATGCAATGGCTGATGGCAGGGACAGGCATTCTACAGGCTGTCCTCTGTAAGTACGGGTCATGCATCTGAGGTCTTACCAAAGGCAGTAACAATATTTGGGGAGGAAAAAACCTGTTTGACCACATACAGACTAGTTCCTCAATTGTGATTAGTCCCTAAGCCATCCAGTGTAACAACTATTTATTTCAAGGTATGGCAGCGCATAACTGTACTGCGCTGGGAGTAGCTGGGAGGCCAGCCTGGGTTATGAGTTCAAGGTCAGCCTGGACCACGTAGTGACTGAGACTCTGTCTTAAAAACAAAACAAAATAAAACCACTACCATTCCCCCAAAGAACCAATAAATCCATCCAAAACAACACAAATTTATGTAGTATTTATATCATATGAGGCATTATGCATATGAGAGGATGTGTTTAGATTATTTACACACACTATGCCATTGTATAGAAGGGAGAGAGCATCTGCATGGGGTGTGTGTGGTCCTGGAATCAGTCTCCTGTGGATACTGACAGCTTCCAAACATATACACACCAGGCCTCACTGCAGACTTAGAGTTAAGCCTCTAGACATCTGCATTTTTCAAAGGGCCCCAGGGGACTCTAATGCATTCCCCAGGTGAGGAATAGGCTGTCTCTACAGCACACACGGTATTCAGTCCTCATCAAGAAGACATCTAACATAACTCCTACTGACATCTATCTGCTGGCCCCTCGGTGATTACCGACAGTGTAATACATCAAGGGAGGAACGTGGCTGGCTGTGACCACCGACTGGGAGAAATCGCGGCTTGACATCTCAATGCCATCACGGAGATGGCTGGAAAACCAGCCTCTCGTGAGTGAACCAAAAAGAGAAGTGTAGTAAGCGGTGCGAGGATGGTGACAGTGGCCTGGTGGGGGAGGAGCCCACTGGCCTCTCAGCTCCCCTGGGTGGGTGGCAGGTGGCTGAAGTGGCCGTGCTGTCTGGAGATAGCCCAATGGCTTCTTTCCAAATTAGGATGGGCCACACAGCCCCTGGGCCCACAGAGCAGCACAGCGGAGCCTCTGCTCAGCACCAGGGAGCTGCGCTCATCTAAGTTACGATGCTCCTTGCCACTGGTTTTCTTGCCATTTAGAATTTCGAAATGCTCAACACCTAAGAGTTATACCGACTAGCAAGAACAGTTTAGACACTGATGAAGAGATGAGGCGCTAGGGCTGGGGTGGAGCGTAGTGGTCAAAAGAACCAAAAAGAAAAGAGAAAGAGACACAGGGCCCAGGACCCAAGCTGAGCATTATGGGTAGCTGGAAATAGCCAGATGAGCTCTTGGCCGTGGTGGTGTAGGAGGAGCAGCACCGAGCTCTGGGACTGACTTAAGGGCCCAGATCTTCCTGTCCTACTGGTTGACAAGTTTATACTACCAAAAGCTGTCACTAAAGGTGGTCACACTGAGGTAGTGGTCATGTAACCTTGGTTTCATGTGAGCCGAGAGAGCAGGTTAATGCCGGCCCTGGTGAGGCACCCATTCCCTGGAGGTGGGGTGATTTCCCACTGCAGAGCTTGATTTCACGAGCTGGTGGTCGGCAGCGTGGGCAGAACAGGGTTGGGCTATGCTCTGGGCTGTTTAAGGTTCTGAGCCTGGGGTGCGAGGCTAGTCATCACGTTCCTAGGTGGTTTTCTTAGTAGTAATGATGGGCCACTGTGGTGCCATATGCGGCCACCATGGTTCAGGGACTCTAGGAGGTACTCTAGACTTGAAATGTACAGGGAGCGGGAAGTCAGGTGGTCATATTTACTGTGTCTTCCTTCCCACAGCTGCTGTCAAGAAAGCCCTTCCAAGGGACCTTCCTAGTGCCTCAGAAGACAGTCTCCTCCCTAGGATCCAGGAGCAAAGTGAAGTGGGCTGGACAATGTGTTCATGTGAGCAGGGAGAGCGCCATGCACACTCTGTCTCTACGTCAGCTCAGGCAATCATAGGCAAGATACCTGCTGCCAAGGCTGGGCACACCGGCCTCCATAGTCCATCTCCTCGATGTGCAAGAGAATCAGTGGGCAGCTCTCTTTTAGGGAGTAAACAGATGTCAGAGGACACAGGGGTAATTTGGCCATGTCATGGAAGACAGTAGATTTAAGTCCTAGAAAGCAGCACTTAACGTGGGATGTGCCAATTCTGGCAGGGTCCTGACAAAGAGAGGCCAGTATTCCACTCTGTCATCTGCCACTCGGGTCACTCAGCCCCAAGCCAATTCCAGAGACAGGGAGGGAAAAGGACCCTGGTTGTAGAGGCTTTGACCTCAAATGCAGAGGGAGGAAGGGGTGAGATCCAGGCTTCCTCAGTCAAGCTGCAGGCACAGGCTAGTAAGGCCCAGAGCTGGTGGGGAGGACTATGCAGTGAGGTGACATGAGTCGGTGACAATTTAACCATCACAGGCAGCCTGGGGATGGAAGTGAACCACGAGGACCTTTCACCCAATGCTTTCCCACTTCAGGAATGGGAGATAATCTAAAAAATGCCTTTTTAGAACCCAGTTTCACTCAGCTTCCCTGACTGGCATAGATAATAAGACAGGGTATGGGGGAGATATTTTAATAACCGTAATGACCCCAGGGGTTTCAAGACTAAGGACCTAGAGTCCTGAGAGTGAGGGTTTCCAGAAATCAGTTAGTTGCTCAGGGTCTCTGGCAATGTCTGTATATTCCTTACAGTCTCTTTTTAATCAGTTTCTCAAGTTTGCGGATGCGGGATGATTCCTGCTCCGGTGTCGGAGCCATTAGGGACAGTGTGCTGGAACTTTCTGTCCCTGAGGGCGGGGCAGGGAGCCTCTGCCGAAACAGTTCCAGCATGCTGCTCTGCTCGCTCCTCTTCAGCCCCTGAGAGGAAAGGGAGAGAAGGGTGGTCAGAGGGTGGTCCCACAGTGGATGCCAGGGGGAGGAGACACCCCTTGGTCCTGCAGTTTGCCCAGCCTGAGCTCTGCTGGGCCAACTGTACAACGGCCAAGGCCCTGACTTCTTCAGGGCAGCTACTGATCCTAGACAGCAGCCTGGAAGAGAAAATTAAGGAGGGAAAAGGGTAAGAGGGTAGGAGAGGACGAAGGGGTGACGAGAGAAGAGATAAACAGAAGCAGAGGGGAGGGCAGGCCCCTGCTCTCCCTGGCACTACCCCACTCCATCCTCCACTGGGCAGTGGCCCTCCCTTGGGCCGGGTGGTCCTAGGATGCTGCAGTCTGTATGGCCAGGATCAGCCTCCAGGAAAGGCTCTCTGCAATCTGGGGTGCAGGGTGAGGCCAGAAACCTGCATGTTGAGGCACCCCTCAAATTCTATATGCACATTCCCTGCCTTAGGGTGGATGGGCTATACTTAACAAGAGAGCTCACCTTCATGTCCAGAATTTTCTGGAAGGTTTCTGTGTTGCAATCCGTAAGGAGTTTGATGTAGTTATCAACAAACACCACCAACGGTTCATGAGGGGCCATCACCACCTACCAAAGGAGGAGACAAGAGTAGGTTCTTGAGAGCCCTCAGGCTGGAGGGCGGGTCAGCTCTCCTTCTTTGCCAGCCCCAAGCCCATGCTCAGAAATGCTCTAATGGCTCATTCCAGCTTGATGTCCAATTAGCACAGTATCCCCAGAGTGGCTGAATCACCATGATCACCCAGATTGCTTTTTAACATATGCAGTCCTGGTCCTCCAACCCCCGAGGCTCCTAATTCCACCTGGAGGCATGGAAGAGACCATCTGCTGGGGGATTTCATGGGTGGTGGGGTATCCACTCTTTCTGTCTGTTTCTGAGAGGGGCCAGGGGCAGAAGGAATGGATGCCCATAGATGTTCTCAGAAACAAAAATTGCAAACTGGCCCTACTGCTTTGAAGACCTGAAACCCGGAACTCCATTTCACCACATTCATTTAACTACCAATTAATATAGACAGATGGCATCACCATCCCAGATTAATTTCATTTGGTTCTGGAATATGCTGATTTTCTTCCCTAGTGGGCTGATTTTGTTTTGAATTCCTGGGAATGTACCAGAAAGTGGCAAGGAGCAGTTTCTTCAAAAGTCCTTTGCAGATACTTCCCAAAATGCATCTCTCCTCCCTTGAGCAAGCCAGCTGGGGAGCAGAGCCAGGAGGCTGTTTGTAGTTTCCTCAGGCACAAGCCCTAGTCTTCCCAGGACCCTCATGTGGTCCAGATCCTGAGGTCTGTAGCCAGGCCAGGCCACTGCAGCCTTATTCTCCTGCCATCATTTGAGTCACTCTGGGGAATGGGCCTGAAGAGGCCCCAGGTGCTGGACTCTCGGCTCTCGTGAGAACGGAACCTTTGCTTCCCAGCTGCCAGCCTTTTCTGACAGGCCCAGGTGGAGATCAGAGGCAGGCGCTGCTCTACCAGAGCACCAAGTACAATCGCTTGTCAAATGAGGCTTTAAAAAGCCCATTTGCCAATTAGATTCAGTTACTACAACATCTGTTCAGAGTTCACTTAAAGGTGCAAAACATGGAAGCTAAAAGGCTTCTGGGGAAGGGAGTGACAGCTGGCCTGAAATTCCTGCTGAGAGGCAGGGGTCCCCTGGCTTCTCTCCTGGTTTGCCACCTGGCTCAGCTGGTAGAGCTTATTAAACAGAACTCACCTGTCAGAAAGGATTGCTGATCCCCAGGTAACTGTGCACCAATTTTCAACATCACAGAGTGTGGACAACCCTTGGCGGCCAGAGGGGACAGGGCAGACTCTGTGTTTGCAAAAAGACGGGACTAGCCTCTTTGAACAGAGTCCCCAGAGAAGACTCACCTTGAGGATCATTTCAGCCCGGGTCATGCCTTTCACGACAATCTTAGTGTAACTGGCAGGCGCCTTCCTCACCACCTGTGAGCCGATGGATGGGAGATCGAGCAGGACCATCTTCAGGGAGTGGGTGTCCAGCAGCAGCTGCAGACCAAGCGGAGCATTATAGCCACTGTGTGCAGCAGCACCCAGTGCGTCCACACTGAGCAGGTGTGCGCTACCCACTGCCCACGCGATCCTTTCCCGTTACAGAAAACTTGGAAAAGAGAACTTTCAAGGAAAAAATACAGTTTTCACTGTCCAGGGAAAGCTACTTCAAGAAACCAAAGTGAAATGTGGGCATAGTTCCTGCTAGCCAGTGTGTGTGGATGAAAATCTAGCCGGAATCATACTGAGTGTATGTATGGCTTCACACCCTGCCCTTTCTGGTAACACATGAAGGGTTGGCATTTTATTTCCCATCATGACAGTTTTTTAAAAAGTTATGATTTTGAGCCGGGTGGTGGTGGCGGCGGCGGCGGCGGCGGCGGCGGCGGCGGCGCACGCCTTTAATCCCAGCACTCGGGAGGCAGAGTCAGGCGGATCTTTGTGAGTTCAAGGCCAGCCTGGGCTACAGAGTGAGCTCCAGGAAAGGCGCAAAGCTACACAGAGAAACCCTGTCTCGAAAATCCCCCACCCCAAATGTTATGATTTTGAATGGCTTTGCAATACAGGCTACATTGTGTAAGTCATGGTGGCATTCTCCCACTTAATTCACTCCCTAGATTTCTGTCATTAGGAACAGATGCTGAATGGCTGGAGAGACAGCTCAGCGGTTTAACTGGGTTGGTTCCCAGCACCCACAAGATGACTTGCAGCAATCTGTAACTCCAGGTCCAGGGGATAGGTGCCCTTTTCTGACCTCCACAGGCATTAGGCATGCACATGGCACACATACAGACAAAACACTCATGCACATACAAGAAAAATAATCTGAAAAATAAAATAACAAAACCAAAAAGTCCAATGTTGAGGCTGACAGCCTCATCATGGATTCTAGCTCATCAGTGGCATCTCCTTAGGGGCAGTCTCTGGAACAGGCCAATGCATGCAGTTATTCTGAAGGTTCCTAGGACATGTCTGAAGCTCTTTCTACCTAGAATGCACCTGTTTACATAGCTACCAGCATCACAGAAATCACAGACTGCACCCTCATCAACACTGAAACTATCACAGAAATCTTACTTATTCATTAGGAAAAAAATGGTAACTTGTTATTGCTGTATTTAAGATTTCTCTAGATGCTGTTTGATGACATTTTAACCATATTTAATCATATCTTGGCAATGACCCACTTTTTTGTTTGTTCTGGTCTTCTTGAATGCCAATTATCTGGGAAGAGATCAACTTTCCTTATGGACCACCAATGGCTAGAAATGATACTAGAAGATTCTTCACATTGTCTCTCTGAGGGTCCACCCTCATTGTTGCCAGTTTTATAGGAGAGAACATCAGTGCTCCAGAGGTTTAATAACCAGCCACACATAGTTCAGGATGGCTTGATTAGATACCTCTAGGCACTGATGACCAGGGGCACAGAAATGCCTGAGGCCAGGGGCTGGGGGAACAGCTCAGTGCAAGGGCACTAACTCTTCACTGCACGAGACTAAGTTTGATCCCAAACACTGCAAAAAGTGAATGAACGAATAAACTAAGAACAAAATGACTTGGCCAGGTGGTGGTGGTGGTGGTGGCGGCGGCGGCGGCGGCGGCGGCGGCGGCGCACGCCTTTAATCCTAACACTTGGGAGGCAGAGCCAGGCGGATCTCCATGAGTTCGAGGTCAGCCTGGTCTACAGAGCAAGATCCAAGACAGGACAGGCACCAAAACTACACAGAGAAATCCTGTCTTGAAAAACAAAACAAAAAACAAAAAACAAAGAAAGGAAGGAAGGAAGGAAGGAAGGAAGGAAGGAAGGAAGGAAAGAAAGAAAGAAAGAGAGAGAGAGAGAGAGAGAGAGAGAGAGAGAGAGAGAGAGAGAGAGAGAGAGAGAGAGAAAGAAAGAAAGAAAGAAAGAAAGAAGTGGCTGAAGTTAGAAGGGTATGTCTTGGTTTGTTTCAATGGTTTAAGAGAACAGACTCACATATGGCTCCAATCAGACGAAGCCTATCACTAATCAGATGGTAGTGATCAAGACATTCAGGACAGGGTTCCATGATGTTAGACAGCCTTTCACAATCAGAGCTGGTTGTCAGGAGTGGGATTCCTCAAGGCTCTGACACTTTGCGTCCTCCACTTTCCCTGGACTTTGGATGGGAGAGTTAACAACTAAAGACAAACTAGCTAATGAGATGTACAATCAGCTTACTGGTTATGGTGATTATAATTTTGACAAGGTTACAAGGACCTGGGGAATGTTAATACTTAGTTCTGGTAACTAAGACATATCACTCTCCACGAGTAGCAAAGAAAGCTACCCTGATGACAGAATTTCATGAAGGAATGTGGCCAGTCAAAGCCTACACTTTTTGTTTGTGCATAACATATATGTGTACACATGGGCATGTCTATGTGTAGAGGCCCACAGAGGTTTCCTAGTGAGAACTTACTTAGAGTCCGAGAATCTGAGCTTGCTTTACTGAGCAGGGCTGCATAATGGGATGATCTGACCATGGGTGTGGTTACCAGGTGTTTGGAAGGGTCTACACTTGGCTGTATGGTGTGCTTTGATCTAGCGAGGGGGAGATCTTTTGCCCCGCCTCTTGGCATTGTTATAAAAAGCCCTTTTGACGAGGCAGAAGGGGCTGCTGGGTTTTGACCTAGGTCCTCCCGAAGCTATCCTGTGTCTCTGTCTTTCTCCTCTTCACTGTCTCTCTTTCTAAAAGTTTCTTATCCCTCTCTCCTTCTCACAGGAGCCCTTTCAGGTGGGAGCTGGCCTCCCACATGTATTCCATGTGGAGGTCAGAGGACAACCTTGAGTGTTGGCTCTCACCTTCCACCTTGTTTGGAAGCAGGGTCTGTGATTTTTTTTGCTGCTGCTTTGTGTACCTGGTGCCAAGCTAGCTGCCTGTGAACTTCCAGGGATTATCCTTTCTGGATCTCCTCTTTTGCCTTAGGAGCGCTAGGATTACAGATGTGCACTACCATGCCCAGCTTTATGTATGCTTTGGCTATTTCAACTCAGGTCCTTCATGCTTGAGGGCAAGTGCTTTTGTCCTCTGGGCCATCTCCCTAGCCCCCAGAGCCTAAACTCCCTAAGTTACTCAATTGTGGGGCAGCACAGTAATCTCACTACCCTTGTTTTAGAATGCCATTGGAAGTCAGGTGTGTGTGGACACGTGTACAGGTTTATGTGTGCACACTCCTATGACTGTGTGTGTGAGGAGGCTGGAGGTCAATCTTAGATGTCTTCCTGTTGTTCTCCACCTTATCTGACAGGATCTCTCACTGAGCCCGGAGCTCACTAATTGGCTGGACTGGCTGGCTAGCAAGCCTCTAGGATCTGTCTGTCTGTTGTGTACCCAGCCTAGTACTGGGGCTACAGGCATGCTGGCTTTCTGTGTGGGTTCTGGGGGTCCAAGTTCAGGTTCAAGATAAATTCTTAGTACCATAGTGTTTAGGTTTTGGAAAAGCCATGAGTTCACAGAAGTGTGTTTGGGATTTGAGAGAATGGCATAGAATACCAAGGCCCAAACCAAGAGCCCAGGGTTAGCATACTCCCCAGAGTCCCATGGAATTTACTTTGCTGCCCACATACCTCTAAAGAACAAGTGTGCTGGATCCAAGCCCTGTGCACCCTATAGTCCTAGTGACTTGGGAGGCTGAGGTGGGAGGGTCACTTGGACCCAGGAGTTCAAGGCCAATAGCAAAACCCTGTCTCAAAGAAAAAGCATAATTATGTGTACTTCCACATGGATTAGAATCTAGGAGATGAAAAAGAAAAGTTCAAAACATTTTTTTGGAGACAGGGTCTCACTATATAGCTCTGGCTGGACTGGAACTCACTACAGAGACCAGGTTGGCCTCAAACTTACTTAAATCTGCCTGCCTTTGCCTCCCAAGTGCTGGGGTTAGAGGCATTGGACACCATGGCTAAAGATTGATTCCCCCACCCCACCCCCGGGTGTGTGTGTGTGCGCGCGTGCATGCATACACAAAGGCCAGAGAAACCTCAGATCTCCCGGAGCTGGAGTTTCAGGCGGGTGTGAGCTGCCTGACATGGCAGCTGGGAACCAAAGCCCAGTCCTCTGGCCAGGGCTCTGAACTGCAGATCAACCTCTAACAGCCCCAAACTTTCAAACTTTTAGTAGAAAACACAGAGATTGCTTTTATTGCTTGTGGGTAGAAAAGAATGTCAGGTATGGGAAAGACTGGAAACTATGTTGCTCTAAGTGGAGTTCTATGAGACTCATAGTCAACCAGATCTAACCGGTGCTGCACCGACAGGGACTGAGACGAGGGCACATAGGACGCCACGGAGTAAGAAGAGGCCGGCGCTGAGTGCAGCTGAGTGCAGCACATCCGTTGAGCATGCACTCGGCCTGCGGCCCAACCCAGCACCATGCACATAGGACGTGCTGGTGCAGAACTCTGGGGACACAGCCCTCTGGGGGGATCTCAGGAGTATTTTCTTTTCTTTTTTTTTTTTTTTTTTTTTTTTTTTTTGTTTTTCGAGACAGGGTTTCTCTGTGTAGCTTTGCGCCTTTCCTGGAACTCGCTTTGGAGACCAGGCTGGCCTCGAACTCACAGAGATCCGCCTGCCTGTCTCTGCCTCCCGAGTGCTGGGATTAAAGGCGTGCGCCACCACCGCCCGGCTAAGGAGTATTTTCTTACTTGAAGATCCACATAACCCATCTGGCATGGGGCTGTGCACTTGTAACTCAGCCCTTGGAGGGCAGAGGCAGGAGGATTGCCGCAAGTATAGGGCCAGCCTGGGCTATCTACAACTTCCGGAACAGCACTGGGGCTACATAGACTGTTTCCAAAGCAAACAACAACCAACATGTAACTATGGTACAGCACCTTTTACTTACATCACAAGAAGAAATTCCTGGCTGTTATGTTCTTAACTTTTTGGTTGTTATGACCAAATACCTAAACTTAAGGGACAGAAGATTTTTTGTTTGGTTTGGTTTTTCCGAGACAAGGTTTCTCCGTGTAAAAGT